ATAATTAATATATATATATATATATATATATATATATATATATATATATATATATATATATATATATATATATATATATATATATATATATATATATATATATATATATATATATATATATATATATATATATATATATATATATATATATATATATATATATATATATATATATATATATATATATATATATATATATATATATATATATATATATATATATATATATATATATATATATATATATATATATATATATATATATATTAAATATTTTTTACATACATAAAAAAATAAACAAAAAAACATTTTGTGCATATTCATAATATTTTGCATACTTATATTTAAATTGTTTAATTATTGCCAATTTATTTATTTGTACCATTTATTCAATTTGGATGTAATAGTAAATATTAGGGTTTTAATTTCTTGCAAAATAATCCCCATTCAAAATTGTATCCCCCTTCCCATATCAAATGTTGTAATAGTGTAGATTTATTTCGCGCACTTTATGCTTACAAATATGCCATGTTAGAGATTAGGGTTTGTATGTAAAAATCCAAAATCAAAACAAATAGCTTGACTAATGCAAAGACAAAAAGCATGTAAACTGACAACACAATGCACACATGCACCCCTAGGGTTTCATCCACTTGTTGCCTTGAAAATGGGTCATGTTATGCATGTTGAGTACTTTGGCAAAACAAAAAAAAACAAAAGATCATAGTCCCTCGATGATGCTATCTTGGTTGCCTATACAAAATGATCTAGTCCCTCAAAGGTTCACTACAAGAAAATTGGCAGATTGCGACATGTATTTTTGTAGATTACGACGGTTAAAACCTTCGCAATTTGCTTTCCACGACGGTTGCTTTACCGTCGCAGAAGTGTGTTTCCCCAACCTATTTCGCGACGGTTACAAAAACTGTCGTTCAAGTTTACGACGGGTTTGGAGCTGACATAATCAAGTATTGGTGACTATTTGATACCATCGTGACTATCTTTGAGTTTCTTTTAATTATTGATGGCGACGGTTCGATACTGTCGTGAATATCTTTTGAAATTGATTAAATTGTTTATGGCGACGGTTCGATACCGTCATGACTTTTGTTGATTATTTTTAATTGTTGATTACGACGGTTCGGTACTGTCGCCATGACTTTTGTTTATGTCTTGATTTTTTTTTATTTTTCTATTATATATATTTTTTATTTAAATTATTATCTATGTAAAAAATTTTAAATATAGTTTTTTTTTGTGTTATTTTTTTCTTTAAATTATTTCTTCTTTAATATATTTATTTATAGTATTATTTTTTGTTTTATTTTCTATCACTTTGTAATATAGTAAAAATAATTTCAATAAAAAATATTTAACATCAAATAAGTATTATAATATCCAAAAAAATGTGTGTTCCATAATCATGTAAAATGCGAGTTCCATAATCATGTCAAGTAGTACAAAAAACCCAAAATATATCAATTCCTAATCTTATAATAATAAGTATCATTATGCCAAAAATACATGAGAAAGTTCACAATCTAATTATCTCGATCATAGCAAAGTCTAATTTGTCCCCCCTGAAGTTCCATTATCTCCAATACGGTAGCTAGACTCAGATGAACGTCTACCATCAGCGGGTGATTCCAATCCCTAAAAAAAGGTATTAAAATAATAATCTTTAAAATAATACTCATAAAATTTAACTTTAAATGCGTCAAAATAATATACCTGTCTTCCACTAAAATTCTGCATTTGCATTAAGAGTTCAATTTCCTTTGTCCTCGCCTTGTCCCTTTGTGTTAAGAATATGATTGCCTGTGTTAATTCATCAATTTTTGAATTCTTTTCTTTAAGTGCATTAATTTCTTCTTGCATTTCCTTTATTTGTTCACTTTCTGCAGAAGAAGATGTCGATCTCGTAGATCTATTAATTTGAGATGGTGTAACTCCAAGTCCCATACTACGAACATATCCATGCTTTTCTTTTCCAAATACTTTCTGAAATGCCTCATTTTCAGACACAGAATCCTTAATTGCAGCTTGTAATTTTTTCTGCACATGAAAAAGAAAAAATTGAGCTATTGTTTATATAACAAGAATAATATATTGGGGGAGAACCTCTTGATCAAATTATGGACTTCCATATATACGTAAAAAGAAGTTGGCACAAACTAGGAGGTGGCACAAACTATTGCAATTGGACTTGAATAATACTGTTGGTATATAATTTTGACATTTTTGCCATGAATAATAAGAAAGCAGTACATTTAGCAATGGTAAGGATTGTTATTCATTATTATTTTGAGTCTCGATCCCCTGCCCCTCCTCAAAAAAATCACTTTATAATATGTATTAAGTGTAGTAGTACTGATGCTTTCAACTTGTGCAGGAGGGATTGTTGCTTTGTATTCTCACCTTTGCAAAAATGCAAAATTTTGTTTGCTTCCTAATCATCAAACATCTGATGAGGAGCTATCTACATATCGCAAGCCTGGTTACTCAAATAGAAATATACCACCCTCATATTTGAAAAAATTCATTGAAAAACATAAGAGCACAAATGAATGAGTTAATATATCAACTAAGGCAATAAAAAAGAAGATATGGATACCTTAGGTTTTAGAAAAAGAATATTATGTTCACTATCTATGACTTTTGTCATGTCCTATTACCTACACTATCTCTCCTGTTATACTCCAAACTCCCTGTCTGGTTCATGGATTGTTTCAAAGAAAAAATCATGGTGTATTGGGTAGGTTCTGCTATGTGACATGGAGTATTGGATAGGTCATGTTGTTAATTTCTGAAAGAAACGTAACAATGTTGTGTGTGAATTTGAAGTATTAGCTTTCGATTCCCTGTACCCCATTTTATTATTATGAACTGATGCCAGTATCAAACCCTATTACATTCAAGTTCTGGCAATGCTCAGCCAATTTATGTGGCTGAGATTTGATAGAAAATTTTAACTTTTGAGGTTTTCTTATTATCTAATAGGATTTTTCCAGTGGTGAGTTATATTTGGGATGGTTCTATTACTATTACCGTTTTTTTCCAGTATTTCAAAAGAATTAACTTGTACTTACATTATTGTTGTATGCATCTTCATTGATAAATGACCCGTTAGGCTTTTTATGAGAAACTGCATACATTTCTCCTCTGCTGTATGTTCGTCCATCTCTCATTTCCTGCAAATAAAAACTAATATAAATTGTTTGTACTATCAAGCAAACGATCAACAACATATAGATTTAGACATACCAACTCATGTTTCTTCCTTGCAAGCGACTTAGATCCGAGTGTATGCGGAGCCTTCAATTTTGCTCTATTTTGGGAATTTTTTTGGGATATTTTCTACATTTGTAACAAATAAAAACATGCATTATAGATAGGGATAACATACAAACCAGAGAAATCTAACAAATAAAAACACTAATGTTACCTGTGTTTTTTCTTTCCGCCTATATTGAACATAAACAGCCCAGTCATTTTCAGGAATGCCTCTGCATTTTGGATAATTTTGAAGATTTTCCTCCAAAGGGAGATCCCATCTATAAAATTCGTGAAACAATGTATGTCGGGCATCCTTCCATTTCCTTGCAGCAGAAGCAAGTACAAAATCTTTGTCACGCCCATCATCCACAAGAAAATGGCGCTAAACATAAAAATATATTAGTTGACAAAGGAAATAATAATCACCATGAAGTTAATTTAAAAAATATGTAATTGTTTATTAATAATACCTTTATCTTTGATTCATAAAACTTTGTTTTTGTATCTGCTGGAACATTCTTCCAACTCTCAAACATTATGGGAATATCTCTAAACATTCTAATAATTATACCCAAATATCCTGCTAGAAAACCAGAAGCCGGTCCTACTGCACAATCATTCTTATTGAATTCAAGTATTATCCATGTTCCATCAGGCTCTGATTTCTCAACCAAGTCTTTCACACATAAACGTGTGTTTGAAACATAACCTTCCTCGTCTATCACATTAAAAAAGTAAACAAATTAATTTCATAACTCAACTATGTAAAAAATTTAAATTATTTATAGATACTTTAACCTTAAATTACTTACTAATGACATTTACATCCCAATACTCAGATTTAGCCACTTTAACAACATCTCCAGTCCCATCTCCTACCACAACATCTTCAGCCTCATCTCCTACCACAACATCTTCAGCCTCATCTCCTAATACAACATCTTCAGCCTCATCTCCTACCACATCATCTTCAGCCTCATCTCCTACCACAACAACTTCAGCCTCATCTCCTAATACAATATCTCCAGTCCCATCTCCTACCACAACATCATCAGCCTCATCTCCTACCATGTCATCTTCATCCTCATCTTCTACCACAACATCTTTTGCAATTTTGATTGACGGAGGGGTTATTGTAGTTTCCATTGGTGGAGGGGTTATTGATGATTTGCGAGTTGTAATTGAATGTAGGCGCTTCTTATTTACTTCAAGCTCTCCAGGTTGTACAAACCTTGAACGGCCCTTCACAAACTAAATAAAATACATTAGTGAATATTAGTAAATAATAAGTACAATTAATTTGTATGGAGTAGTATAGAGAATTTATGACTGACCAGTGATGGTTTGGAAGAAGACTCTGATGATTTGTGAAGGGATTGAGAGAGTGTAGGAAGATTGAGAGCCGCTAACTTTTTCTTATTCTCTGCAATTCTTTTGAGGCGACTATTCTCATATGGTGTAGTCATTGTCTCACAAAAGGCTTCAACTGCAAGTATAGGTATTAAGTACACTAAAAGTAGTAAACATCAAAATTATATATTAGTGAATACAAATTTAATAAACATAACATAAACACAATAAATTAAAAACATAGAGTAACAATGTCATCTAACATATTAATTAGGGATAAGCAACAAAGAACATAGAGTAACAATGGAATATCATACATTAAGTCTCACACAAGTTACAAACAAACTAGATTCTTATCAATAAAAAACTATATGTTAACTATTGTCATCATTTGCCGCTGAAGTTCCAAGATCATCATTTGAAAAGATTTGTTCCAAATTTTGTGATGGATATGGCTCAATGGGTGTCATAATTTCATCATTTCCACCCATGTCATACAAGTCTCTTGGCTTCAAATGAACAGGTATGCTCCATCCTTGTTCACTCTCATCATCTACATAAAAAACCATATGAGCTTCAGATGCTTGAATATATGGCTCATTATCTTCATGTTCACTAGTATGTAGTAGTCTTGCAAAGTTTATAGAGGTAAAACCCAACTTATCTATCTTAATTCCTCTTGGGTTTATGGTATTAGCCCATTCACATTTAAACATGGGCACTGTGAAGCCATCATAGGAAAGCATAATAATATCTATTAATCTTCCATAGTAAGGGACCCCTCCAAATCTCATTTGGGTATCACTATTGCTTGAATAACTTCGTGTCCCAAACATGCCAAAAACTCCACTATTTTGAGTTTTTAAAAGATTGTCTCGTTCCAACGTTCGAAACTTGAATCCATTGACATTGAACGTGGTAAATCTTTTAACTTTATCAAAAGGTCCATGAGCAAGACTAATGAGAACATCTTTATCTGGCCCATGAATGTTGTCAAGATTGTTGCGAATCTATACATGATACAACATTCAATTAGTCTTGTTATTATTAAAAACCAATTCAATAAAACATCTATTTTTGTATGAAAACTCACACGATTGCTGAACCAATGCGCAAACTCCTTATGAACCTTCTTGTCTATCTCAGTAGCACTTCTTTGACTGCGCCTCATTTGGTTTTGAGTAAAACTTCGGAACTGCCTATTTGATTATTCGATATTAGATGTAAAAAAATATTAATAGTATAGATGAAACTACTTAAATGTAATAAAACTACAGACTTTAGATAGTCGTCAACTATTGGACAGTTTGTTAAAACGTGTCTATGAGCCTGCAATTTTTCAGTTGGTGTTAGGGTGTAATAAGAAGATCCACCCACAGGTTTTCCAACTCTAGGAAATAATTCAGCTACACGTGAAGCAGTTTGGATATCATCAATAGGGTCGTCATCTACACGTCCAGGTTGATTCCATCTAGTCTCAATATTTTCTAGATATCTTGAACAAAATGTAAGAATCTCTTCAAAACGGTATCCTTCTGCAATAGACCCTTCTGGTTTTGCCTTATTGCGTACATACGATTTAAGTTTTCCCAAGTACCTATCATTGAACCACAATAACACTAGTTAAAAAAACTTTCTACTTTCTAATTAAGTTAGTAACATTAGAACAAAATCACATAGTTTACCTTTCAACAGGATACATCCATCGATAATGAACAGGACCTCCAAGTTTAACTTCTTCAACAAGGTGAACAACCAAGTGGACCATAACCGTGAAGAACGAGGGAGGAAATAACATTTCCATATGGCATAAAGTGAGGACAATTTGGTTTTGCAATTTTTCCATGTCTTCAATTTTCAATACCTTGGCACATAATTGTCTAAAGAATGAGCACAACTCAATCAATACTGCTGAAACCTCATGAGGTAATGTTGTGCGAATGGCTAATGGTAAAAGTTGTTCCATTAATATATGACAATCATGACTCTTCATCATTCCATTCACCTTGAGATTTACTAAGTCAATGCATCTAGAAATGTTGCTTGAATAACCATCAGGCACCCTAATATTCTTTAAAGTCATTAAAAAATTCCTTTTATTTTTACCTGTTAAACTAAAGGCAGCCGGAGAAATTTTACCATTTTCATCAGGCCAAAGATCAGGTCTTATGCCCATATTTTGAAGGTCTTCTCGAGCTTTATAATGGTCTTTACTCTTTTGCCTATCATTCAGTAGAGTAAATAGGACATTATCGCGCACATTTTTCTCAATATGCATCGGATCAAGATTATGGCGTAGAAGATTATCTTTCCAATACGGAAGTTCAAAAAATATGCTTTTCTTTTTCCATTGTTGAGGATGACCTTTTGTAGGATCACATTGTGTACTATCACCTACTATAGGTTGTTCCTCACGTGTTCTTTTTACTGATTTTTCTTTCACTGCCTTTTTACCAAAGATGACTTCAACATCTTTAACCTTTTCAAAAACTTCATGTCCAGATAATGTTCTCTGTGGACTCCGCATTTCTTGTTCACCATTAAAGCGGATCTTGTTCAATCTAAACCTGTGTCTCCGATCAAGGAAACGACGATGACCCATAAAACACCATTTACGACTAGCTTTAAGACGGAGAGGTGTAGTTTGAAAGTTACACGATGGGCAAGCAAGTCCTGTGTATGTGTTCCACCCAGAAAGTGAACCCAACCCTGGAAAGTCACTAATAGTCCACATCAAATTTGCATGCAACTTGAACATCTCTTTCTTGAAAGAATCATATGTATCCACACCACTTGTCCATAACTCCTTCAGGTCTTTGATTAATGGTTGTAAGTAGACATCAATATTATTTCCTGGTGCCTCTTTACCGGGAATTATCATTGACATTATAAATGATGTCTGCTTCATGCAAACCCATGGAGGAGTGTTATATGGTATGAGAACAACTGGCCAAATAATATTGTTTGTACTCATCACACCAAAAGGATTAAAACCATAACTAGCCAATGCAAGACGCACATTCCGTGGATCTGATGAAAACCAAGTATGTGCCAAGTCAAATTTCTTCCAAGCTTCTGAATCTCTAGGATGCCTCAACATTCCATCATTGTTAGTATCTGTTGCATGCCATCTCATATCCTCTGCCGTTTTTGATGACAAAAATAATCTCTGTAATCGAGGTTTTAATGGAAAATAACGAAGAACCTTGGCAGGAATTTTCTTTTTTTTCTTTTTAACAGAGACATCCTCATTTGTTTTCCATTTTGAAGTGTTGCAATTTTTGCAAGTCTCCCTCTCCTCATCTTCTCCCCAATAAAGCATACAACCGTTTGGACATGCGGGTATCTTTATATAATTCAAACCAAGTTTTGTGATTGATTTCTTGGCTTCATAGAATGAACTTGGAATGTTTGCATATTCAAATGCATCTTTTATTAACTCTAAAATCATTGTCATTGCCTTCTCACTCAATCCACATAAACACTTTATATGGTACAACTTAACCAAAAAAGATAGTCTTGAATATCGTCTACACCCTTCATATAAAGGTTGTTCTCCTTCTCTAGCCAACTCATAATACTCCTTGGCTTCGTTTCTTTCCTGAGTTGAGCTTGGCATCACATAATCTTCTTGTTCAATCTCCAAATTTGACGCAGATGGTATTTCATTTGCATGATTCCCATAAACTCCAAATGCATCGTTGATCATGTTCTGAATAGGTTCTTCGACAATGTTAGTATCTTCTACCATACTTGGAGTAGTACTAGGGGAGATAGTACTAGATCGTACAAAAGACTCTCCGTGATGGATCCACATGGTGTATCCCTGCGGAAATGGTGACCAACTTAAGTGGTCGAACATGTCACTCCTACTCTTTAATTTTCTGAAACCGCAACGTTTGCAAGGACATATTACTACGTCGTTTTCTTTTGCACCTTTAAATGCAAAATCAATAAATTCTTGTATCCCTTTTTGATAAGCAATCGATGATTGTGGCTTAATAATCCATGACTTATCCATTTCTTCACAAAAAAAAATTATATTTTCAGAATTCTAGTACTTACGAGAACATGTTATTTTGAATATAAACAATAGAAAAATAAAAGAGATGAGTTTTATTATTGGTTGTTTAATTTGTTTTTACACACTACATAACAAGTTTATAGGTGAAGCCTTGTGATATCAATTAGTATAATACAGTTTCATGTAACAGACATATATGGATAAATACTTCATATCAATATGTTTACTACATTTAGCTAGGTACTTCAAGAATATTTACTTATGTTGTGTCAGTGTGCGAGTGCGACCTTAATATTGCTTTGTACTAGTATTTTAAAGTGCTTTTGCGGTCCCGTATGAATGCGATTGCAAACATTGCAATTTTGGTTATTACAATTGCTTATAAGAATAATGTATTTGTAAAGGCACACTCAAATTTAAGATAAAATTCTTATAAGATAAAATTCTTTAGTCTAACACTATTAAACAGTGATATAGTAAAGGCACACTCAAATTTAAGAATGAAATCATACCTCAAAGACGCACGAGGGTTTGAAGAGCAGCGAAGCAAGTGGAAGAGAAAAGTTACCTGCAACAAAAACCAAAGCAGCATATCAATAGTTGGTAGAAATCATAGATTTATCAAATAGAAATCTTATATTTTTCAACAGCTCATATCCCTTTAAATCCAACAAAAACATTATTATTTACATTCTAGTCCAGAAGACACTTCATGTTTCAGATGCATGAAAATGTGTCATCAAGATTTAGAATTAAAATTTAAAAACTATGTATTTGGAGAATCATATAAGCACCATTTGTCATATTTCCAGAATCATTTTTAGATAAAAATGGAAAGCTGTTAAGAACCATTTTTCCAGTATGTTTCCTACTTAATTCATTCTTACATGTCTCATTAATAGTTGCCCACGTTGCTCATTAATTAGTTTGACTCACGTGCCTAAATTAAACAATGTAATTACCCTTTTCATTTTACCCGAAAATAAAAAATAAAAGAATATTCTACTAGAGATTTTAAGTTAGGTGTTAGCTACATCTTTTAATACAACAAGATGATAAAAAATATTCTAAAACATCCTCTATGGCCTTACTTTTAACCTCATCCAAATAAGTAATATCTATTGTTTTTTAATTCTATTGAATCAACACTCTCTCAATCCTTTTGGTCTCTTTGTTTCTCATGAGTATATAAATAACCCAAACCTCCAAATATCTTCTTCATTCAAACTTCAAAACTCACATAAAACATATATTACACACAGTAGGCATATATACAAAATTCCAAGTGTAATACACAGTAGGCATATATTACACACAGTAGGATTAAAATATATATTACACACAGTAGGCATAAAATATATATTACACACAGTAGGCATATATTACACACACTCTTCTCTTTCAAAACCAGCAGTAGGCATATATTACACACACTTTTTTGATTTCACCAATTTATATTAGTTTTGATCGAATGATAACTTTCAAATTTTCTTTCAGGCTTTTTAAACACATTTAAGATGAAAAAAACCCGCTCATATAAGAACTTATATTCTGTATCTTTGCTTTTTATACTGTTGATTTAATAAAGGCCTATGACACATGATTCTTTTGTTCACCACAGAATAGGGAACTATTCTTTATGTTAAATTCGATATTTACTCTTTCTCTGAAGAGAACTTATTCTGAATATCCTTTTTCAGAGACCTCAGCAACAACAAATTAAGTGGACAAATCCCCACGGGCTTCGGGGGTCTACAGAACATCTTGTACTTGCTGTAAGAATTTTGCCGCTGCTTCATCTATCATAACTTAAAAATGTAGATGAAAGATACATTTTATTCTAGAAACTGGAAACTGAAATGTTTTTGTTCATTGCTTTCGTTAGTAGACTAAAATAAAAACTAGTGCCGCCAAAATCTTGTAAGTTGATGTGATTCATTTTGGAACTGTTCAATAACTGGGATAATGTTTACTATCTTATCAACTATTTTTGCTGTTAGACAATAATTTGAATGCTATTTATTAACTTTTTGATGTTAACTTAACTAGATTTTTATCTGGGAATCAGCTGTCTGGACTGCTGCCTGACTGGATTGTTAAACCCGACTTTGTGTAAGTTGTCTCTTTATGCTACTTGCTAAAATGTGAAATTGCATAAGCCGTCAATATTAAATATCACATTATAGTATGGAGTGAGCTATCAATTGTTCCATGAAGTTGATCAATTGCTTCATCATGTAAGATTCTGACAGATATTGTATATCTTTATGCAGAGATCTGTCGTATAACAACTTCACTATAGCAAAATTTGAGCAGCAAACTTGTCAACAAGGAAGTGTGTAAGAGTCCTAGCACTGTGTTTTTTTCATTTTTCTTTTAACTTCATGGTTTTCTTGTTTTGTATTTTCATGAACCGACCTGATTCTCAGCCTATTTCCTTATGCCACAAAAACTTGTTTGCGTCTTCTTTGACGGAAAACAGCTTGTAAGTTTTTATATCTCTCGTAATATAAATAATTACCTATTTAGTTGTATATCACTTGTATATGTTACTGAGTGCTAACCTGTCTTCCGCTTCCATTGTTTATCTTCTCAGAGGAAATGTTTCATGTTTGGAAAACTATCAATGTCCTAAAAGTGAGTTTACTTTTCATGGATTTCCTATATCCTTCTATAGTACTGATTGATTCGTCTAGCAGTTGATAACCTATTTCTTCTTTTCCAAGCTTGGTACTCTCTCTACATAAACTGTGGTGGGAAGAGCATAACATAAGATGGAAATAAGACATATGATGATGATTCAGCTGAGATGGAATCAGCAAGATATCATCAAATTGGAACAAACTGGGCACTTATAACTGCTGGTCACTTTTTTGATAGTGGGCGCTCTGACTACTACATATGGTCTAATGCAACAAAGCTTGCCGTCGACAATGGTACTGAACTGTACATGGATGCACGTGTTTCTCCAAATTCTCTTACTTATTATGCATTCTGCATTGGAAATGGAAACTACACTGTGAATCTCCATTTTGCTGAAATAATGTTCAGTGATGATAAAACATTTAGCAGCATTGGAAGACTTGTATTTGACATCTACATCCAGGTGCATGTTTTTTCATTTTATTTTTACCACATGTACTAATCACATGATATGAACCAATTTTTCTTAAAACTAAATTAGAAAAAATAAAATTCAATTCATTCGATACTGTGCATTTGAAGAATTTATATATGGCAGAGAAATTTGGTGTTGAAGGATTTCGATATTACAAAAGAGGCTGGTGGTGTCGGCAAGGCAGTGATTAAAACTTTTACTGCTGGTGTGACTAGAAATGCATTGGAGATTCGCTTAGGTTGGGCTGGGAAAGGAACAACTACTATCCCATTTGGATCAGTATATGGTCCTCTTATATCAGTTTTATGCCTAAAACAACAAATTAGAAAACCTAAAAAATCATAAAAAGAAATAAAACCCTAAAACAACAAATTAGAAAACCTAACATCAATTCAATATATTCAAACTCAAAATCAATCATCACAAAGAGCTCAACCATAAGATTCAAGTGAATCTCCAATGCTGAAATCAATGGCAGAGAATGAGAGAGATGAGAACAATGCAAAAAGTGATACATAAAACTTACTGTGTTTGAAGAGATGAACGCAGAGGATGTTAAACTGCTTGCTGTGCATTTTTTGGTGTGAAGATGAGCGGTTTGAAGAGATTCCTTTCGGTGTCAAGGGGTTTCTTTCAGTGTGGAGAAGAACGGCATGAACGGCATCATGAGTAGAAAAAGTGAACGCAGGAGTAGAAAGTGAATTGATGTTTTATGTATTTTAAGAGCTTTTTAACTTTTTTACGGCGACGGGTGTTTTACCGTCGTGCCCATGAGAATTTTTAAAGGTTTTGGGTGCGACGGTTGTTTTACCGTCGTGAAATGAATTTTAGGACGGATAATTTTACCGTCGTGAAAGGTTTAAGGGTGCGACAGGTGCTTTACCGTCGTGATATGCCTTTTAGGACGGTTAATTTTACCGTCGTGACTAGTTGTTGGTGAAAAATCAATGTTAAAAGTGTTAAATGGGGGCCGAAGGTTGTTTTACCGTCGTAATAATAATATTATGGTGGTTAATTATACCATCGCAAAATAAATATTAGGGACGGTTGGTGTCAACTGTCGTAAACACTGTCTCTATATGTCAATTACGATAATTATCACATAACTGTCGCAATTTTTGTGTCGTTAAACACTAATTTTCTTGTAGTGGTTGCTAAAGATACTTAGCACAATTGCTATCATGGTCTATACGATGACCCGCGCCTGTCCCGTTTAACATCCAAATACAAGGTTGTTTACCAAATGAAATGGTAAAACAACACTGTCAAAAGGGTTAAAAACGTATAGGAAAGATCTTTGAGTAAAATAGGGTAGACAACTCTTAGTTACTTAATCAAAACTTGCAAAAACATCCTTGCTATTTTCAAACATACCTCACAACACAACTTCAAAACATTTCACAAAATAAACTTTCAAACATCGAAATATATTTTCAAAAGACAAACACCTTTGTATATATTCAAACAAGAATCATTACAAAGGCTGCCTAGACAAGGCCTCTTTTTCAAAGCATTTTCTAAAAACCACACACAAAGCACCATTTCAAACAATTGAAAAGCAAAAGCAAGTGATCTAAACAAGTAACTAAGAGCCCATGGAAAACCATGGATGAAAAGGGTGCTTGCACCTTCTCTTTTCATAATATACCCCCCGAACCCAAGAAAACATCTCAAAGGTCTTTCATGTGCTTTTTGACCTTTCCTTTGGATAAAATAAAAATTCGGTGGCGACTCTTGCTAAACCGAAACATTTGCGAACACAAACACAAAACCTCAAGTCAGTTCTCCCACCATATCATAATAACAAATACAAAGAATAAATTATAAAATATAAAGAACAAATATGCACCTTAAAATTATGTTTTATGTATGCAGAAGT